TATACTTTTGTTCACCCTACCCATTCCACCAATTTTTGTTTACTTGTTTATATATTTACGTAGTCTCCCTAAGAAAGGATAAATTAACTAGTGCAAGTCTACTTTATAAAAATACTTTATAAATATACTTTCTAGCTAACTTACTTTCTAGCATGTTATATGAGAAGGTTAAATCCTACTTTGAGTCCTTGAATTCTGATATTGTTTCGGTTTTTTTGTGTTTGGAAAGTTATTGATGTAGTTAGTGTTTAGTATTAGGAATATCTAAGGTTATGATGGTGGAAGTGTAGGTTCGAGATCAATGATCTTGAACATATTATGAGCAAGACTGTCGATCATTCTCTCGTGTCAGTCCCAAACTCAAATTGCTTTATGATCGAGGTGCAACTTAGGTCGAGCTCTTCTCAGTTTCACGATAACTACAGTAAATTCGAACTTGCTTAATCTTTGTTTCTGAGATGTTAACTTTGATTACCACAGGCCTCAACTATTTTGCTAAGAAGAACATATGGACCTCCTGTTGAGGCCTATAAATACCCTCAAGGGTCTCTTGCAAAAAGTAATTAAAACATACTTGACCCTTGTAAAAGGTAATTTAAACCGATTTAAAGTTTTTGTTTCATATTTTTTTTTAGTAGACCAAATTATTATTAACTTAATTATTGGAATGTCTACCCCAAAGATGCTTTACAAGTCATTCCGAAGAGAAGATTTGGACTGGAAGTAGCTTAAAGGTTTGTTGCAATTACAGGTAGAAAAGCATCCATATATTATATGGCAGAAGTATATGATTAGTTTTTTATAAACTGTTTCATTCTCTATTATCAACAAGATTTCTTGCAGGCTGTTTTTCAGCTTCATATTTCGTAAGCTGCTTCATTTTTCCGAAAATCAGTGAAGATATTATTTCATTTTCAGGATTTATTTTCAATTAATCAATATGTATGCACCTTTCTTTTTTAGTGCTTTGATGGTAAGGATGACGCTAATATCTCCAAGAATGTTGGTGACAAAGTGAACACAAATGTGAGTACAACTACAGAAGTAGGAGGATTACCTAAAGGTAGTCAACCAAAGAAAGAAGGAAAGGGAAAAATGCTTCGAAGACGAATTGAAAATGGAAGACTTTCTGTTTTCGGGCTACGTTCTGGACACATAAGTTGTTAAAACTGGAGCAACAAAATTGAGCGTGAAGAAATTAAATAAGTGTGGGTGAAATAACGAAAAGGTTAAACCTTTAATCTGGTCTCTCAACTATATATAGACCCCCAATTGAGTCCCTAAACTAAAAATATCCCTCATGTAGTCCCTACTGTTTCCAAATTTAGACCCATGTTAATTTTTTTGTACAAAAATAGTTGACATGTTTTATTACTAACGTGACATATAATTATTAAGTAATGATTTTTAATTATTAAGTAATAAATATGTTAGTTATTTTTTAACGGAATGATCAACTTGGATCAAATTTAAAAACAATAAGAACTAAATCAAATTTTTTTTTTTTTAATTTAAAAACTAAATTAAAGTCCATATAATAGATGAGGGATCAAATTGGGCTCTAACCTAAAGAAACTACCTGCAGAAAGAGAACTTCTTATGTAATAACTAATTCAGAGCACATTAATTTTATTATTTTTCTAGATATTAGCTATTGTGTAATTTACCAACAAAAAAGAAGTTACAGTATAATTTTTTTTCTGTTAATATTGAGGTCGTCCTCTCGGTTTATTAGTTTGGGACTGATAAGTGAACTTACCCTTAATATATTGATTTTTTTCTTTTGTAGGCAATGAGAACTAATTTAGACTTAATTTTATATCAGTGGAGTTTCATTATTTAATTAATAATTTGAATTCTTTTTAAATCGAATTATTTTATATTTTGTTTAATATGATTGTGATTTTGAGTTTTTTTTTTCAATTTTGGTTTTTAAAAATAAAATTAAGTAGTTTTATAAATTAATTAAGTTTGGAGATTTAAGTATTTATTTTTAAATTTTATACTCAACAAGTTAAAATTTTAATTTTTAATTTTGGTTTTAATTATCAATTTTAATTGTTAGAATTTTGAAATTTAAAACTAAAAACTCAAAATCGCAATCATACTAAACGAATCCTTAATAATTTGGTGCTTTAGTTAAATTTGATTTCTAAACTTTAATTAAACTAAGGAAAGCAATAACCTTTAATTGATGAATTGATTTTGTTAATAGGAAATTAATAAGCTTTTGGTTTTAATAAAACAGTGATTTGATTAAATTTGATTTCAAAACTTTAATGACAAAAAATAAGGCTAAGTGGGGAAAGCACTACAAGAATTTTAGAATTTGCCGGAAACTTTATTTCAGGCGCTTATTAAAATTGTAACCTGCGGTAGAGTGCTGTTTGGGCACTTTCATTTTTACATT